GTAATTAGTGAAGATTTATATACAAATCAAACATATTTTTCACAAATATAAGAATTTCCCAAAAACAAATCATAAATAATTATTTTTTTTTGCTAGTTTTGTTGGGATGTTACCATTTTAATATTTTTCATATATAATTTTTTATATAGATATTAGAGTTTATAGATATTAAAATAAAATAAACTCGTCGATATGTTTTATGTTCTTATTACAATATGAGTAAAAATTTATTTTTTTAAAAAATAAATATTTTAAAACATTTGCAATTCAGTAGTAATTTTATCTTAAAAGAAAAGAATGCCCTCGAACATAGATGGTGTACAATTATCGTCAACTCGTGTCATAAGATGTTCGATTAAATTTCATAATGAGCAAAATTTACGTGTTTAATTTTAACCGGACTTTCAAATGATAGACCGAAAGACAGGTGAAGCTACAATAGCCCGGGGCAAAGGGGGAACGGTTGTTGGGTGTTGCAAAAGAATTTGGCAAAGTACGTAATTAAGAAATAATTGGAAGTACACAACTAAAAGTTTAAGAGTTAAAGACCCGTATATCATCATTACAACTCTTCATAATACTTTAATCCAATAACCCCCCTCACTAGATGCTATATACATACATATATATATATATATAGTTTGTCCTGTTTTGGCTTGAAGATATATTATCATCTTGATTAATTTTGTATATCGTTGTCAGTAATCACATTGGTTTAATCAAATCATATTAAACTCCCTTTCTGTTTCCAATTTATTAAGCCAATATTAATTAATATAAGTCAAGACAAATAATTAAGATGTAGTAAACCATTGGAGGCTGTAGAAAAGGGCCTGCAAAAACTTAGATATAATTTATATTATTAGTACATAATTAAATAAAAATTACTTTCAGCAATGATATATTTGCATATTTCCTTACTAATAATAAAAATTACAATCTCACTTACTTTGGGCCAGAACCCAAAGCCCATAATAGGGGAACAAAAAAGGGAGTGGAGATGCGGGGTATCGATCCCCGTACCTCTCGCATGCTAAGCGAGCGCTCTACCATCTGAGCTACATCCCCCACATGCTGACTGGCATTCCTATTTTCAAATTTGATGGGAAGATGTCGAATTCAGGTAATCCATTTTGGTTTCTTCTCCGTAGTTTCTAAGATTCAAATCTTCTTCATCGTTACACTCGCAGAGTTTTGCATTGTTGTCTACGGACAAGTTCTCTGCATTCCTGATTGTTGCCAGAACATAGTTGTTCATTGTTCTAAACTAAGTCGGACATTTTTTTTATGTTCTTTCACGAAGTCCAATTCTTCACCGTTGGTTTTTTCTAAATACGAAGTCTAAAGTTATTTCTGGCATTTGAGTTTACTGCGCCAAGATATTACAATCTATATTAGGCTTTTTCTCAGCAGATGATAAACTATTTTATGAGATTTGATGTATTATGGCTCGGGATTAGAAAGATAATCACATTGCAATTTCCAGAATTCTCTCTCCGTCGGAATAAGTTGCTTTCACTCAATTCAAGTAACTTTCTGGAAAGCAACTCCTCTGGTATGAATTACTTGCTAACATATCGTATTCAACAATTTTAATTTCTGTCTCCGTTGATTTGTTTTCAACTCATCTCTTTTTTACTTCGCTTTTGCAACTTGTGATTGGTATTCTGTATAATTATCATAAACGATTTCAGATCTGTCTTTTCTGCAGACAGTATTTTATGATTTTACTACAGATAATTATTTGTTTCAGGCGAATTTCTAAATGGGGTTAAAGCCGAATACTCTGATCAGATCAATAATTTGACTATGTTATGATTAAGGTGAAGTATTTTCTGGTGATTATATCAAGAATTTCATAGTGTTATGGTTAACATGTGACACAGTCATCATATTCAATTTACATGAGCTCAGAATTTTTTCCTGCTGCATCGCTAGCTTGAGTATCAGAAACCAGATTGCTGTTCTTTGGAATTCTGATTTCTAAGAATATGTCATTGTACAAGTATACCTCCATCTTTTTGCAGTCTGCATCTTCTGGCAACTCAAGCCTTCTGACATAACCATTTTCCCACCATTTCCCACTTCTCCAATCCTTCGTTTTATTCTCTCTCTGCTGCTTCCACTCTCCACTAATTTCCATCACCTTCCAATTATCAACATAGATTTGTACATTACTTTTCCCACTTCCTGTTTCCACAATCAAATTGCTTGATTAGTACTCTGCAACATAAGTTTTTAACTTGTTAAATCGAACCTGCCAAACAAAACTGATGAAGGGCACCCCATAGATTCACTGGTACCACCCTGTTCAATTTCAATCTTGACAAATTTTAGCTGTAAAAACCCTTGGTTGTGTGATATTAAGAAGTTAGGTTTTTCACTATTGGTCTAGCTTCTGAGATAACCAATTCAATGACTTATTGAAGAAATTATCATTGGACATGATTAAGAAGAGGTTTGAGCAATCCTTACCTGGAAGTTGTGCTTTTAGTACATATGCTTGATCTGTCTGAAACCAATCGACGCTGCAGTGACCCGAGCTCCGAAGACTTGACAGTAGGATATCCGACTCAAACTCCCATAGAGGAAATGCATCGGAAGGATCAAAATATTTTCCAAACAAGAATGGACTGAACAATGATCCATCCCCAAATACCTTATGAACTGCTGGACTACCCTGAGCCAGAAACTTCCTGAACACGTCTTCGGTCAATGCCACACTCCATTTCTGAGGCGTTTTATCATTAGTATGAATTTCAAGCTTAATGGTGTTACTTGTCATTGCAGCCTAGGAGAAGAACTTTGTTTTGGAGAGAGTTTGGGGGCTGGTTTTAATTCTTTATAGGGTAAGCAAAGCAAGCAAGAAAGTAATTTAGGACAAATTCTCCGGGAATATTTGGAGGCTGTAAAGCAAATGCGAATATATTTTTTTCTTCTAGACCTTGTTCAAATACACATGAAATGATGCCATGTGGCCACTCACTGATCTTTATGTGTATATATATATATATAGCCTGTGTTAGAAAAAGATGATGATGTCCAAACTTGACTTAGAATATTGAGTAGGAATTTGGTGAATACTTGCTCAGCATCTGGGCCTTTGCTGTTCACTCATCATGAATATAACACTTTACAAGATATGTCTGCAGCCATTGGTTTGCTTCAGAGTTGACACAAAACAAGTGTCAAGCACTAAATTTAACCCCATCTGATTTCACCTTCTTCTTTCTGCAGCCATAGAAGCATAAGAACAGAATCTGGCGTGGAAAATCAATGTGTGTGAAAGGAATAATTTTTGGTTTGATTCTGTCTTCATTCTATATTATGCACGTACATCAATCCTTTCCACATATTCCTTTCTGGGGCCATAGATTTCCTTCTGACCAAAATGAAGCTCTGGCTGTGTTTAGCAAATTAGCACTAGGGTATATATATATATATATATTTTTTTTCGTTTGGAATATTTGCAGAGCAACTTTTCTGTAAGAACAAAAATTGGTGTTTGAATTTTCTGGTAGAGATTGAAACACTTTTCATAGTGGTGGCAATAGGTGGGGTATAATCCAAAAAAAAAAATACATATATAATACGTGTATATGTGTATATATGGATGTAAATATAGTTGCGATTATATCACAGAAAGCCCAGGTAAAGTCATTTGCTTAAAATGTTTAAAAAATACATATACGTATGTGCATGTGTTAATACATGTATGTATGTATATAAAAGAAAGATGATTTATTATTAATAATATTACATTTGAATCTTAAATTTCTTTCAATCGTTATAATTTAGTATTTATAATTTTTATAAGTAAGTAATTTAATAATTGATATTTTTAATATATTAATTTTTTTTTTTGGTTTTCTTAATTTAGTATTTGTAAATTTTACGAACGAATTGTTTTAATAACTAATATAATTAATTTTACATTTAAATCTTAAATCATTTTATTTTTTATGCTATAGTATTTAGAATTTCACATTAAAATATATAAATTATTTTAAATAATATTAATTGGAATAGTTTTTAGGAATTTATTATTACATTAAATAATCAATAATTATTGTATAGACTGTAACAGGAATTATATTTCGATTATATCAATTATTTAGTAATTTGAACAATGTATCTAATTCTAATATGGCCCATCAAGTTTATTTCTCAACATAACTGAAAATTTTTGTTTAAAATCCTTAAAATATAATGAGCTAAATCAGTATAAATTCAAGTAGTAATTTGCTTCATTACTTTTATTTGGTAATTCATTAATTATATTAAAAATTTATTTTAAATATAAAATAAAATTCATAATTAAAAGATTTACTTAAAATTATAATAAATTTATGGAGAAATTATATATAATTAATTTAAAATAATAAATAAAAATCTTAAAATACTATGTTTTAGTACCAAAAAATATACAAGTTTTATGAATGCAAAATTAAAATTCGTATAAAAATAAAAATGAAAAGGGGGCCCATAAGCCCATAAAAATAATCTGGCCCATTAGTGTGACAGTGTATATGCGTTGTTTTTCACCTTCGGCTTGCAGGAAAATTCTCTTCTGTTCTTTCTTTCGGCTGGCAAAGAAAGACACTTTTTCCGGGATTCTACGCAGCAGGCGTTTGGATTGCAAGAAAATTCTTTTCCTTTCTTTCTTTCGGCTGCAACAGAAGAATGTTTCCCCCATATTTAACCCGGCACGCGTTTGATTTGCAATTTTTTTTTTTTTCACTTTCTTCCTCTTTCGGCTACAAGAAATAGACGTTTGGATTGCAAGAAAACTCACTTTTTTTTTTCTTTCGGCTACGAGGGAAAGAAATTTACCGGGATTCAACCGAGCAGGCGTTTGGGTTGCAAGAAACTCTTCCTTTTCTTTCTTGTAGAAAATATTTTTGCTTTGTTTCATTCGGCTACTATGTCAACCTTCGTCGTGCTGGTAGGATCAAGATTCAATCCGAAAGATTGGGGAGTTTATTTCGTATTACCTTCTGGGTTTAATCCGTGTCGAATCGGGACGAAAATGGTGGACATTGTAGCGGAATGGAAGAAAGGAAACGAATGTTTTGTAGTTGAAAGAGAAGGAAAGGGAATTTCTTTCAATCCAAACTTCTGCTATGTTGAAGGAAAAGGGCTAAATTTAATAAAGCACAAACCTTCTTCTTTCTGAAACCATTGAAGTACAAGAACAGAATCTGGTGTGGGTGAAACACTTTTCTGTAAAAACAAAGATTGCTGTTTGAATTTTCTGGTACTGATTAAAACCCATTTCCTGGAGGTGGCAATAGGTGGGATATAATCCAAGAAAAAAGCTTACAATTAGACATATATATATATATATATGCATGTAAATATAGTTGCAATTATCTCAAAACCAAGCCCAGGAAAAAGGAATCAGCTTGAAGTGTTGGAAAAAGATCATAATAGGGCTCTATCCTACACTGTGGAAATATTTGCAATTCACACATAAATATATATATATATGTATCTATCGGCCGAAGTAACAGCAACTGAAAAGTGTATGTATATATATTGAAAAGCTTGGATCATTTCTGGGGAAGGAGATTTATTAGCACAGCAGTTCTGGTTTGGGGTATAATCAAGCCTTCTGTAGATTGAAAAGAAAAAGAAAATCAAAAGGAAGATGATGGGTGTCATGCCCATACCCTGTATTATCTTAAAGGCATCTGCAGAGTGCAATCTTTATTATTATTATTATTATTATTATTATTAAAAATTTAAACATGAACTTAATTAATGTGTGTATATATATATACATATATACTGAAGCTATAAACTAACTCTATTAGCCGCTCTAAATTGATGAACAAGAGTGAATTAATGGATAACCTGGTTGCAAAAACTATTTTATGACTTAATTGTATTTTAAATAATAAAAATACTATTTTAATCGATTATATCTTGTTGGAAGTTTAAAAGATATTATTTTAAAAAACACGTTAATCAATCGGTGTATTATATGATAAACAAATTTTTTTTTTTTTACCAATAATATGCAAATTAATTTATCAAATATGGTGAAATGTAAAATCCATTATAGAAAAGTCATAATAATCTATCATCAATAATATTATAATTTAATAATTAAATTTTTATTTTTTAATTAAAAATATAAAATTAATTATTTTATAAATATATTATGGATAGATAATATATATTTATAATGTTTAATTTAATAAAATATAAGATTTAATTTATTAATATATTGATAGAAATATTGTGATAGTATTTTACTGAGTTTATTATTATTATTTTTTTTAAATATATATATATATATATATATATAGAGTGTAAGTATTTAAATTTTTTTAATTAGAATAATTATTTTTTAATATAAAATAAAAATCGATGTTTACTCATGACAGCTACAGTCTGACCTGGTAATTACATTATTTATTATTTGTTTTTGCCTGCAAAAAGTCCCCTGCTTTCTCTCTCCCATTCCGCGTCTTTCCTTCTCTTTCCTGGACAAAAGTACAGAACTCTTCAAATTTTCATTACCTCCCTCATAAAATTTTTAAATTAATATATGAAAATATAAATTTCAAATCCTCCATTACCACTTTTCTACGAAGCTTTGCCGAAAGCAATAAATTTCTCCTTTTAGGAATTGCGGTCAACTTTTACATGCATCAAACACCCTATATTCTAAGCTCTTGTTGATTGGATCTGGTCGTAACTAAATACCCATTTGCCATTTTCCTTTCTCTTTGATTTCTTCTTATTTTTCTCCGGGTCTCTTTGATTTTGAATTTAATTCCGATGTTAATTTGGTGTTCTTCTAAGCTCGATTTGAGCTCCCTTCCTTTCTAGATTCCCTCTTAGATTTCTTTTTCCCTCAAAGGGGAAAGTCGGGTTGTCGACTTATCTTTCATTTAATCCATTTTCTCTCCTAAGTTCTGATTTTTAATCAGAATTTTGAGGTGGGTCTTTCTCTTTCATAAGTTGTGTTGGTGATTGGGTTTTCTTAGCCTCTTTCCTTGGAAATTGGATTGTATTGGGTTTAACGTTTAGTCTTAGGTGGTCTTCGGTGGTCTTAGGTGATAGAGAATTAGTAGGGTTTTGCTTGGCTAGGGTTTAAAGTCCTCATGAGATGAAAAGGATAACATACTCCGGTAAAGCTGATGAGTTCTCGAGAAATGGGTGCCATAAGAACAAAGTTTTTCACTGTCTTGGTAATTCTGCTTTATGCATTGGTGACTAGCGGCTCGGAATATGAAAACAGGGTAGATCAAGTGATTCTTGACCAACTCGTTGATCCAGCAACTGGGAAGTTCGATGAGAACATGGTAGGAGAGTAAAGATCGTTTTATTTCAGTATACTTCGTTTTTCTACAGTTTCTTTGAATTATTTTTACTGTTATTTGTTTGGGAGATGACTTATGTCGGGATTGTTATAATATGGTCTTAGTTTCTATGATCAAGAAGCAGGACAGAACCAACTGTAGTTTCAGCTTGGAATCCAATACCTTTAGCTTCTTAAGTTATGCAGCACAGGCTAGACAGGAAAATAATGATATATAAATGATTTTCTCATAGGAGTATAAATGTCTGGAGAGGATGGAGTATGGAGTTGATAATTGTTTATGATGCATCACCTAATATAAGGATAAGCACTGGAGATTGTTTTGAACAGCCTGTTATCTTGGGCATTCAGTGGACATTATGCACCTATTATACAACAACCCCTCAGAGGCAGGTCCAAGCAGGGGGGGCAGCGAGTTGGAGAAATGGAGGTTTGAGCTCTGGAGGGATTTGGGTTTATACTAGTTTCTTATTCATTGTAAATTACGCTGCAATGAGTCATTTCACAAGATGTCATTGTTTGTCATTGCTTTATTGGGAAAGGATATAATTGCTTCAAGGATGTACCATCAATCGGATATAAGTGTCATGGTATATGTTATTCATGGAGTTCAAAGTGAAATACTCCCATGTACCAACTGTTTTTTTTTTCTCTCAAGGACTTTGTGTAGTGGGAGACTTGCAGCTGATGGTGCAGTAGCATTGGTTTTGCATGTATGGAATTTTTTGCTTGTGATATATACTACCTAGTTTTATTTTATATTTTTCTTTTTTTTCACTTTCTTTTTTATTTAAAAAATATACATATATATATATATATACACAACCAAGTTTCTCAATTTAAAAGAAATCTTAGGAATTGGGATTTAAAATTAATTATTTCTGTAAGTTTCTGCTATATGATCCTGTTATGAATATTAGGTTATCATGTGCACATCATCCTTACAAGCACTGTGCCTGTTTTGTTGAGAACATATA